ACCCAGGCATGGAAGTGTAATCCCAGTTACTCAGAGGCAAGAGAGTCGAGAGCTTGAGGCTAGCCTGGGCTACAAAGTGACACTCTATCTCAAAAAGATGTGTGTGGGGATGGTGTGTTGAGAGTTGTTTGATGGTAGAGCACTTGCCTGGCATGAGCAAGGCCCTGGACTCCATCCCTAACATTGGGGGAAAAAAAGATCCTCAAGGATGAGAGAGTACACCTAACAGGCTACTGTAGAGTCCTGAAGTCCAAACCCCAAGAACTTGAGCCTTATTTCGACTGTTTACCCAGATCTATTTACTCTGACCATGTCTGTTCCTCTGACCTTGCTCTTCTGTCTCCACATCTCCACAGGGACAGTGATAGGAAGGTTCTATGGAAAGGATGGGCTACCCACCCCACAGTTGGCCCAGGTAGAAGCCATGATGACCAAAGCCTTAGAGGCAAATAAACAGGAACAGAAAGAGAAGCAGAAGTTCCCTCCATGCAATGCTGAGTGGAGTGCAACCAAGGGCAGCCGGTTCTGGTGTTCCCCAAAGAGGTAAGCGAGTTTCCATCTGCTTTTCCACTTCCCTCACAAATCAGACTTCTACTTAGCCTGTTTGTATTATTCAGGGAATAATGCAATTATAATAGTAAGTTGATTACTAATTCAGGGGAACTTTCTCAAAATGATAGTGATTTATCTTTGATTGCACATTAGATTTTCTGGGAATTAAAAATAAAAAGACTGGGAGTGAGGGAACAGAAGACACTGTATGAAAAGAAATATACTCATTACCTGACTCATGTAATTGTAATCCCTCTGTACATTACCTCTAGAATAACAATAAATAAATTTTAAAAAAGATAATGGCAAAACCTCTATCAGTAACTGAATAAGAACAGTAAGGTTGAGTCCTGGGTATCTTCCCACCTCCAATACCCCCAGAGTCCCTGCTGAAGAAGGAATGCTGGTTTGGGAAGGAGGAAGTATGAATAGTATATCTTGTTTAGTCTCCTGTGCCCTCCATTTCCTGTTTGTCAGTACAGAAATCATTCCTACTTGCAGAACAGTGAGTTACACTCTGGTGTGTTCAGGTGCTTTAAAGTACTGTGTACGGGGCTGAGAATGTAGCTCAGTGGTGGAGCACTTCCCTAGTATGTGTGAAGATCTGGGTTCTAGTCTTAGCAATGCAAATTAAAAGCAAGAAAAGAAAAAGAAAAGCCCTTTACATTCTGATTCCAGGAAGTGCAGGTTAAAAATGGGAAACCCTCCCCTGGGAGAGCAAAATGAGGTGAACTAGAATAGAAATGATGCTATGAGGATTATTCCAGGTTGTTTTGGGAAACTGAAGCCTCCCACTCCTTCTGCCTTTCAACCATCAGGCCAGCTTGATTGAAACTGCTTGATTCTGAGTTTGCAAGAGATGACTTCAACTACCCTGAGATGAGTTATGTCTCTCTGCCCAGGTGAGAGGTTGCCAGACTGTGTTGGGACAGAGCAGAAGCCTCCATCCCTGAGGTCTGGTGACATCAAGAACAGGACCTAGGGCAGGCCAGCATAGCTCACAGCTTATAGCTATGTGTCAAGGCATCCCAGAGAAGGCTGACTCAACTGGCCAGGGTCTCCTTGTTGGCCACCACCACCAAGTACCCAAGATGCTGTGATGGGGAAGAAGGCTGCTGGAAGGCCATTGGCAGGGGAACCCTCCTTCAGACTACAGTGCCCCTGCTAGGAAGTGATGCTGCCACCTCAAAGGGACAGGGATAACTGGTGGCTCCATTAAAGAGACATAGACTCTGTCCTCAGTCTGCAGAAGTTGGGATTGGCACTATATTGGGGAAGCTGGAGGAAGTCAGAGAAGTCAGGAGAGCAGAGGCCTGAGGTCGGAAGTACAGCAGCTTTTGTTCATTTGCATGTCTCAGAGACTTGTGAGTTCACACTTTTTTAGAAGTCCTCTTTCCTTCTGTCCTTAGTGGAGGTGTAAGCAGAGACTGGATTGGTGTCCCCAGGAAACTCTATAAACCAGGAGCCAAGGAGCCCCGCTGCGTATGTGTGAGAGCAACTGGTCCCCCTAGTGACCAGCTGGACAACCCTGTACACACAAATCGTGGAGACTTGGATGACCCCAGCTTGAGAGAATACACTGGCTGCCCACCTCTGGCCATCACATGCTCCTTCCCACGCTAAGTTTGTGCTCAGTATGTTGATGACACTTGAGAAAGAAGTCTTCCCTTGACATGTGCACCTCCAATGGCTTCCAGCATAAAACAGGAGGATCTAGGACTCTGATCAATCTGTGCAAATGTGCCATTCTGGTGCCTGAAGCAAGATTCTGACAACCTTCCTAGTGCCTGCGTTCTTTAAGCCTGTTTGGATGTTGTTTCCTAAGTCTGCCAGCTGTCTTCCTCCAGAGCCCTCAGATACTAATGGGCACAAGTGTAACCAACCCAGAACTAATGAGACAAATGAGATGCAACCAACCCAGATCTAATGAAATACATGAGAAAAATCTGAGCTCCACCTTCCTTCCCTCCCAAGGACTCCCATGTGGCCTGCATCAGCTGCCAGCATGGCCCCTTCCTATTACTCCAGTCCTGTGGGCACCTGGAGCATGGCAGGGACTGTGACTCTCAGCAGAGACAGGCAGACATATCCCAGGAATCTCTTTGGGGGCAGGTGGGAAGAGTACTGGGGTTTTCTTGTTTTGGTTTTGGCCAGTCTTGGGATGTGAATTCAGGGCTTGGGCACTATCTCTGAGCAATGTTTGCTCAAGGCTAGTACTCTACCACTTGAGCCACAGTGCCCCTTTTAGCTTTTTCTATTTATGTGGTACTAAGAAATAGAACCCAGGGCTTCATGTATGCTAGGCAAACACTCTACCACTAAGTCACAGCCATAGCCCTTGAGTACTAGGGTTTGAATACAAGGCCTTTTGCTTGATCAGACAGGTACTCTACCTCTTGAGGCATGCCTACAGCCCTTTTTTTCAAATAGGGTTTGCTTTTTTGCCCCAGCAGCCTCAACCTGTCATCTTCTTATGTCATCTGTGTTACTGGGATTATAGGTAGGTCATACTACTTCTGGCTTGTTTGTTGAGATGGGAGTCTCCACTACCTTTTGCCCAGGTTCTCTTTGAACAGTGATCCCAATCTCAGCCCCATGAGTAGCTAGGATTGTAGGCATATACATCCATGCTTGGTTCTTTTCTCGTTGCTGTTGAGACAGAATCTTGCTATGAAGGCCAGGCTTGCCTCATACTCACATATCTCCTGTCTCAGTCTACTGGGATTACAGGTGTGTACCACCTGGCTGAAGCTGTGCATAGTAAAAGCATCCTATATTACTAACTCTACACTGGAAAAGCTTGTGATCTCTTGACTTTTTTTTTCTTTTCTTTTGTTGGTCATGGGGTCTTGAACTCTGCACCTGGGTGCTGTCCCTCAGCTGTTCAGCTCAAGGCAAGCACTCTACCACTTGAGCCACAGCGCCATCTCTGGTTTTCTGATGGTTAACTGGAAATAAGAGTCTCATGGCCTTTCCTGCTTGGGCTGGCTTTGAACCTTGATCTTCAGATCTCAGCCTCCTGAGTAGCTAGGATTATAGGCGTGAGCCACCAATGCCTGGCTTTCATGATTTTTGTTCTAAAACCTCTACCTTCAGGCAAAGTTGAATTTATAACCCGAAGCCCACTGACTGGATTAGAGCTGGGCAAGTACAGTGAGATGTGATAATAAAATGTGATGGGCTAATTCTAGACATATTTTGGTTTCTATGGATGCAGCAAGTCCAGAAAAAGCATGGAAATTATTTCTTTTAAATACTAAATATGTTTGAAAAAAATCAGATGTGGTTTGTTTTCAAAGGAAAAGTCCGCATTTGGGGCAAGAAGTTTTATAGCTCTACAAAGATACTTGGTTAACCTAAAATAAAAGTTGGGGCAAGCCTACAAATGCCAATATAGACAGTCCTAACTTAAGTTGGCTAGGCTTGAAACCTGTCTAGTGCTGTGTATAGCCAATGACATCTATCACCACCTACATTTGATAACGTCCATGCCTAGTTACCTCCTGAAATGCTAAACTTAAGCAGAGAAGGGCACTGAGTTTCTTTTTTGTTCAGATAAGGAAATAAAGACCCATCCTGGTCTAGATTACTGGCCTTCACCTCATCTCTCACTCCCTGCCTCCCCAACCTGTATAGTATCTTCTAGCTTCGGGTTCCTTCCTTTAAGTGTGCAGTGAAGAGCTCACTTAGTACTCAAAACACTTTAAGTATACTTAGGGTGCCCACAGTACCCGAAGCTCCTGTGGCTACCACACCTAATTACTTTCACAGTGAACATTTTTCCTGTTCCACAGCAGAATCAGTTCTGTTCTGTACTTGCAGATCCTGTCAGGTTTTGTCCCTGGGGCTTGAACTTGGGACCCTGTGCTCTTGCTTATCTTAAAGTAGTGCTCCCACTTGAGCTGCACCTCCTCCAGTTTTTTGTTTAGTTGGGAGTTTCTTGAATTTGTCTGCCTGGGCTGGCTTGAACGAGGATCCTCAGATCTCAGCTAAGTAGTAAGGATTATAGGCATGGCCACTGGTACCTGGAAAGTCTCATCTACTTTGATCTCTATGACTTTTGACATTGTTCCAGGGGATTCCTTTCCCTCTCCCTGAAGCCTGATCTCCCCCTTTCATAGGCTCTTCTCCCTTACTTTAGCAATTGTTTACTCCTCCAGTCCTGCCTGTTTACACCTCCAATCCAAATAGTTTCCTTGAGCTTCTCTGCAGGTATGTAAACCCTCCTCTTTGACACCTAACACTTAACTAGACCTGCTCTCCAGGTGAGTAAAGGCCTGGTAGTGGGCCAGAGTCCCTCCCACTTCCCTGCCTCCTAGCCTTTTCTATTTCCTGCCTCCTAGTCATCTGCTAAAGGGATTCACCATTCTCCCTTGTTCACACTGTGGCAAGGCTTCTTCATAACCGGAGACTTCCGTATCTTACAAGGCCAAGCACAACTCTTCAGCACCTTGGTATAGGAGGCCCCTTACATGGCCAGCCAGTCTGCTTGGTCACTGCCTCTCCCATTTCTCCCCATGCACTGACTACCTCCCATTCCGAACCTTTTACTACATTAGGCCTAAAGCGTTTTCCACAAGCTGTTTGCACTGCCCATGGATCCCATTTCTTTCCCATGAGTCCCTGTATTCGGCCTACTCTATCCTCTCCTGGGTGCCTTCATTAACCACTGGCCTAGGTAGCACACACAGTGCCCCATGCTTACTTCCTCTCACAGTGATCTCTAACTATGAATTGCCCATCAGACTGCAGATTCTAAGGACAGGCCAGTCCTCAGGTTGGTATCCCTACAGCCAGAGTACCTGGCATGTGACAAGGGCACAGAGTTAGCTTTTAGTTTGAAGATGGGGTAACTAAGGCTCAGAAATCTTAGGGTCACGGAGAAATGGAGCTAAACAAAGCACTTAATTAAACTGAAGGTTTCAAAGCAGAGCCTGTAGCCCACTCTGGCCTTGAATGCTTGATCCTCCTGCCTCTGCCTACTGAGTACTGGGCTTACATCTTTGTGCCACCCACCTGGCTTTGTGGTTCTTGACTACTGATTCTGTGCTATTTCTACTTCCTCCATATTCCCATACATCTCTGTTCTCCAGGGACAAGAGTGGACTGAAGGGCTGGGAAGGTGGCTCAGTGGTAGAGCGCTTACCTTGCATGCATGAGGCCCTGGGTTCAATTCCTCAGCACCACATAAGCAAAAAGAAAAAAGGGAAGTGGCGCTGTGGCTCAAGTGGTAGAGTGCTAGCCTTGAGCTGAAGAGCTGAGGGACAGCACCCAGGCCCAGAGTTCAGGCCCCATGACCAGACCCCCCCCAAAAAAAAAAGAGTGGACTGAAAAGAGTAAAGCTGGAATGAGACCTTATTCTAAGTTCCCAAGAGCTCAAAGCTTGGCACTTGAAACTGCAGTTCAGTCCTTGCCACTGCTCTGGTCCTCCTTTAGTTACCCAGTAAGTGTTATGAAGTGCTTACCATATGCAAGGAGGCAAGGGGTAAGGAAGCAAAACACCTGGTCTCAGGATCTTCAGTGTGGTGGGGTAAACCCCTGATTAGAGCACCACAGGACACCCTTTGTATAGGAGTGCAGGATGTACATACCAGAACGAGAGCAGACTCCCACAAAATAAAGTGCACTTGGGCATTGCAGCCAGAAGTGTTCTTTGATGGTAGTTGGTGGGTGCCTAGCCTTTGAGCTCATTATCTAAGACATACTGGCTATCTTTAGAGACCTGCTTAGTGCCCTGCCCAGTGAGAATTCATTTCCTCACTGATACTATCCTTACCCTGTGGTGAAGTACTTACCTACTTCAAGAGAGAACATTATTCTAGAAAGCCAAAGGGCTCTTAAGGAGAAGCTGGTAATTACTGAAAGCTGCTCCCTTCCTGCCAGTGTGGGAGACTATAGGCAATGCTATGGGGGAGGGCAGTTGCTCTTTGATTCAGTTTGGTTCAGGGACACTGGTGCTTCAGTCAGATTTGCTGGCAAAGAGAAATGGAGGAAAACTAGCTTATGTTGGACAACTCTGCCAAGCCAGGCCCTGTTCAAAGTGCTTCCTTCTCAGGTCATCTATGTTGGCCTTCAGTGTATTCCTTTATGATGCAGACAGGCGTTAACTACCCCCACCTTTTCTAGAGCCACCACACCTACTCCCTACAAGCAGCCAGAACCAGCCATTACAGCAGACACTCAGAGCCTAGCCTTTCACCCAGCAAACACGGGCAGCTCCCTGCCAGTACCTTGAGGAGACACGTTGCCTTTGAATTCTGAGACTGTGGTTCTCTATCAGTATAAAAATAAGGAAGCTGGCATATTTGTCATTACTTGGCAACTTCTAAGCACACAGAAAAGAGGCCTGTCAACTCTGCCCCATGTCTTGATTTGCTCTAGGAAAAGCTAAAATCTGGCTGGGGACAGGTTGGAGCTGTACTAGAAAGAAGGGAAAGACACAGTTCATTACTCAACGGTTCCCTCTAGGCAACCTGAAATAGGTAAAACCTGTCACCTCTGAGGCACAGATACAAGGAAATTTGCCCAATACTGTCAGCTGACCAGGGATAGAGCAGAACTAAAACTCAGTGCTCTCCCCTGGCTGCACAGAACCATGACTTTTGAAATGTGTATGACTGCTGCTTTTACTGTACATGTGACCAGTGACAATGTGGTTGGCACTGTCTGTGCTGAGGGAAGTGGTAGGATTACTTGGGGTTATGGAGCAGAAACTTCACATGGTTGCTAACTATGAGAAAGGCCACTGGAGAATGAAATATATGACCAAGCTCTTCTGAACTAAGAGTAAGCAAAATCAAAGTATTTTGAAGGGAAAGAATTTGAGCTTTGGTTTGCAAAATTCATACAATGGGTGTTTCTTTAGATCACTAGATTTGTGATTCCTAAATCTTCCTTGGCACACAAGCCCACAGTGCCAGTAGGAAGCTCATATAGTGGAATGGGAGAGTGACTGTCGGGATCCTTTGGAGAACTTCTATGAGAAAGGAGACAGACTGCATCTGGGACCACACACCAGCATGGTAGAGCCCAGTGGCACAGTGCTTTAGGCATTTGTTCACTAGGCCTATAGCACCTATTTTCTAACTGCTGTCTGGAAAAATGTTGGATTTTTAACTTTCTTAGGGTAACTGTTGGTATTTATTCAACAGTGTATGCTAAGAGGTGTTTTAAAAAGTTTGTGTGTGATGCTCATTTGTACTTCTGCACTAGAAATAGCTACAAATGTCTTTATTGAAGTTTATACTTTAAATACACAATTTTACCTCACTTTATTATAAGGAATTGTTACAGAAAATGCAAATTTCATATTTTGAAAAATACATTCCATCACAGACTCCAAAGAAACAATGCTGATAAACGCCATGGTCTAGTATGCTGTCATCCCACAGTGACCACCATCCCCAATGGCTTGGGAGCTCAGGGGGTCAACTTCACTGTGTGCCTGCAAGTTCTGCCCAGTCTCTGCCCTTGCCCTCCCCTTGGTACCACAGGGATGCCATGGAACAGCCAACTCCATAACATCTGCCTAACAGGCCAGTCAGCAAGTACAGCAGTCTCAACTTGACTCCTAGCTAAAGAAAACCAATGTTATTGGTTATAACAGGTTAATATTATTATTTATGCCACACAAAAGAGGAACTGTACCGGCAATGATCCTCCAAAGTAAGTATTTAAGGCATCTTAAACTTTTGGGAATTTATATGTTTTGTTTGCATCTGCCACTCAGCTCTTCACTAAATTACTTCACAAAGTGGCTTCCAAATGTCTTTCAAGAGCTGCTTCCTCTGTGCTGCTCCTCTCCTCAGCTGGGACAGGGACACTCCGGTGCTGCATGTGGTCCTCCTGGGCATGTCCTGAGGGAATCAGTGTCTCTAATAGAGGTGCACATTTACTTGTGCATGCTGATGTCACTGCCTGTTAGGTCTAAATTATATGGTTCAGCTGTGTTCTTTTTCTACATGTAAAGAAACCCAGTGTTCCTCCCCCTCCCACAGCTGCTCTCTACCACTTATTTGTGGACAAGACTAGTGCAAGAGTAGTCCGATGAAACACAAAGAAATTGGGAAGAATGTCAAGACCACATTCAGGGACAGAGGGAGGAAGCCGACAGGTGTCAGCAACAATTCAACAGTCTGAGGTAGAAGACCAAAGGTCATGTGGACCCCACTCCCTGAAGAGAAGGTGACAGGTGAACTGAGCCGTCTAACCCAGCCTCAACTGAATTGTTAAATGGAGCTGATAGTGCACAAGCACAGAATCCCAGATGTTCTAACCTATCCGTCAGTGAGACACCACTGAGAAGCCCACAAAAGCAAAGTCCTAAGAGTAGGCACTTAAGTTTGAGGGACATATGTGTGTTAAAAGGATCACAGTAAAACTAGTTTAAGCCATTTTCTTTATACATAGTTTGACCTCTGTCTTAAAACTGTTAAGAATATACTTTAAGTCTGGCAATAAACAAGAGGCAGTTTAAATGCCAATTCAGCATAACAGTAGTGACTAATGTAGCAAATCACTTTTCAGAAAAGTTTATTATTCTGCTCTATTCATTCATAATTGGCAACCTTTAGAATGAATAAAATTAACTTTTTGCGATGAGTTCTCAAGCTACAGATGAAAATTTGACAAGAGCCAGGCAGTTTTGTCAGCAGAGATAGCATAAGAAGGTCAGAGTATGTCTGCTCCCTGCCAGGGCGTGTATGGTAGAGCCCTGCAAGGTAGCCACTCCTTAAGGAACCTGATGAGTGCAGCCTACTGGCACTCTGACACTGACACTGCAAGGTCAGAGATCTAAGACTGGCACAATTATGCCAAGTTCACATGAATGCATCAAGGCAGAACTGAAAAGAAAAAGAATATCCCCCAACCTATGGCTGGTCAGTATCATTGCTGTTCCTGGACTATGAAGAAACAGAAGTTGAGCATGATCTTAAGATTTTAAGTGCAATTATAGGAAAGATATTGAAATTGGTGTGGAAGGGTAAAGGCAGAAGTCAGCCTCATCCCTGACTGATACTCTATCCTCCTTGCTCCACTGGGAAAATTAAAAGACTATATGCATACCAACTACTTCGATTCATATCTGAACTGTAATTACCTTACTTTCTGATGAAAGAACCACACTATCTAATAAGTCCTTGTGGCCCATTTCAGGCCACAGAAATAGAAACTGACACACCCTTCACATGGTCATTGCCAAAATGCTTGAGCTTTTCTATAAAAATTCTATATGAAGTGGGGTACACTGGACCTGGTCTGTTTTTCCCCCCTTTTAAACATTGTGCACAAGCTCATATTAACACAGACAACATGTATCTTACAAATCAATTATTATTTTTTAAGTAGCACTCTGGTTTACCAGTACATTTACCCACATACTTAGGCAAAGGATGTATGAGTCTACATACATAGAAGACATAACACTATCTGAAAGAAGCAAAATGAGTATTTAGTCCCTTTTACACATACTTCATTAATGCAAAAAATGCAGTGGTTATTAAATGTCTGAAAAAATCAGTATATATCATTGAGATTGTTAATCTGAGTGTGTGTGTGTGTTATATATGTGTGTGTATGTGTGTGTATATATATATGTATATATATATATTTCAGGTATTGATTACCTCAGAGTTGTGTTTTTGTTTTGTTTTTAAAAATCAATGTTAGAAGTTTCTTTCTCAAGGTGCATTTTTAGAAAACTGGCCAAACCTTCAAAAGAAAAGTTAAACACCTCAGGGTTAAAATACATATTATTAAAGGTCCAAGTAGTTCTGGGATCCTCACTCAGCATTCAAGCCTTCCAAAAAATATTGCTCCTACTCAACTGGGCCTTCCGGCATCAGCTCTAAGGAAGCAGGGCAAGCTACACAAAATGGGAGCCACAACACTCACAGAATCCCAGGCAAGGTTTCAGCAAGAAGCACTTTTTTTTTTTTGGTCATGATAGGGCTTGAACTCAGGGCCTGGGCACTGTCCCTGAGCTCTTTTTACTCAAGGCTAATGCTCTACCACTTTGAGCCACAGAGCCACTTCTGATTTTCTGGTGGTTAATTGGAGATAAGAATCTCATGGACTTGGACTTTCCTGCCCAGGCTGGCTTTGAACCACAATCCTCAGATTTCAGCCTCCTGAGTAGCTAGGAATACTGGTGTGAGCCACCAGCACCAGGCCAAGAAGCATTTATATTGAGACAGGACATGATGTCCCAAGGCTGGAGTTGCACCTAGGACTGAAGTCTTGTGTATCTCCTTTCCAGCCGGCTTGCATGAATTTCTTGCTCCAAGAGACATACGTGGTGGGAATTTTTCCTTTAACAGTGTGGGCCAAGGTGAGTCGAAGTTGAACACTAGAATCACTGATGCAGGGATGTGTGAGGGTATTTTTGAATATGGAATTTTAAATTGGAATCATCAATAATGCAGCTATATAAAAAGTGCAGCACAATAAAAGTGCATTTCCTCTACCACTCACTAGTGGCAGGGACTGAGGACTTCACAGACAGGATGCAGGAAGACGAGAGAATGAGACAGCTGTTAGGCGTCAAGCTGCCACACTGCACTCCTGACACCTCAGCAGCACAAACACTGGTAAAGCTTTCAGTTGTTAAGGCCACGATTTTTCAGCTCTCATCTTTGAACCCTGTTTAGAAAGATTTCACCTTTTTAAAAGGGGTAGCTCACTAAAAATATAGCTTAACTTTAAAAAGAAAAGACTTCAGGGCAAGAGGATCCTATTATCTTTATGAAACACTGTGCAGAAAAGTCCACAGCCACTTACTCTAGAATGAAGCCAGTTCATCCACAGCAGCTTCCTACTCTGTCAGGCTCTGCCTCATAAGTCAGCCCAGGCAGGAAGAATTTGTTGAATGCTCTGAGATGAACACTAAGCTACTGAAAAGGAAAATGGTCTCCAAGTATCCCTATATGTTGCTAGTGGAAGGGGTTTGATTCCTATCACATTTATCAATCGGGCTAAATGGCCTGGCCCAATTAGTGAGACATATAGTGAAATCAATCACAGTCTGACACACTGACAATCACACAGAATCAGTTGAACTGGATCACACCATGGTCCTTAATTGTTCAGTCTCCTGCCACAGGAAGACCATTGTCAGCTCCTGCTCTGGATATTGATCAGAGCAGCTGCTGGGGAGGTGACCAGGGCCATGGCCTAGACCCAACTGGGGGCTCACTAAGAGACCCCACCCAGAGTCAGTACATCAAAGCAAATGTTGCATACTCGCACAGGCTTGTTCAGATCAAACTTTATAATAGGAATCTCCTTGGTCGAGCATTTATGGCAAAGAAGACGTCCGCAGTGGCGACTGTGGAGACAAAGAAACAAACTATGAGATGGGCTCTAAAGAACAGCCTGCCCCACACAGGCAGACAGGGCCAGCCCATGACTGCTGCTCTGGCGCCAGCATGAACAACTGCAAGACAACTCACAATTCATAGGTAACTTAGTCTATAAAAACGAAATTCTGGGCTGGGGAACGTGGCTCAGTGGTAGAGCGCTTGCCTTGCATGCATGAGGCCCTGGGTTCGATTCCTCAGCACCACATAAGCAAAAAGAAAAAAGCTGGAAGTGGCGCTGTGGCTCAAGTGGTAGAGTGCTAGCCTTGAGCTGAAGTGCTGAGTGACAGTGACCAGGCCCAGAGTTCAAGCCCCACGACCGGACCCCCCCCAAAAAAAAACCAAAAAAACAACGAAATTCTAAGCTGGGCACTGGTGGCGCATGCCTGTTATCCTAGCCTCTCAGGAGGCTGAGATCTGGAGGATCATTATTCAATGTCAGCCTGGGCAGGAACATCAGTGAGACTCTTTATCTCCAATAAACCACCAGAAAACCAGAAGTGGCGCTGTGGCTCAAATGGTAGAGCACTAGCCTTGAGCTGAAGGGCTGAAGGACAGTGCCCAGGCCCAGAGTTCAAGCCCCACGACTGACAAAAAAAAAAAGTCTAATAACTGAGCTTAAGTGATAGTGAGTTTCCTGGTGGAAGCCCTAGTCCTCAGTCCTATAGTATCTCCTGGGCACTGTGAGGCGATAAGTCATCTCAGTGACATAGGCCTGGGGCCTGCATGCCCTTGCCCCCAGTGTGTGCTCACCTTCCCTTCCCTATGGCTCTCCCAAGGCAGGATCCTGCCCAGGTCTATCATCTCCTCATGTCCTTTGGTCAACTTTGGCTCACAGATGCTTATCATGGCAAGGTGAAAGCAAGGACATCCACAGAAGTGCCATCACTCCTCTCAAGGGATGACAGAAGTCTTACCAGTGATGTTTGCGAGTTGTTACTCCAAATTTGGCAGTGCACTCATAGCAGTTGGAGCCATCACACCACGGCGGCTCCTTGGACAGCATATCTGTAACACACAGGAGAAGATTAGTTCTTTTTTTTTGTTGGTCGTGGGGCTTGAACTCTGGGCTTGGGCGCTGTCCCTGCGCTCTTCAGCTCAAGGTGAGCACTCTACCACTTGAGCCACAGTGACACTTCTGGTTTTCTAGTGGTTTATTGGAGATGAGAGTCTCACGGACTTTCCTACCCAGGCTGGCTTTGAACTGAGATCCTTAGCTCTCAGCCTCCTGAACAGCCAGGATTACAGGTGTAAGCCACTGGCACCCGGCTTAGAAGATTAGTTCTGATTGCAGCTGGCAAATGTGGGGATAAGGGAGTGCACACGGATATGAGGGCACAGTCAGGGAAAGCTGCCAGAGGAGAATGAAGAGCAGCAAGCACTGCCAGGCAGGTTGGAGGAAGTTCTGTGGGAAGCAGTCAGCCAGCTGCAAGTGGCAAATAAGTACAGTCAGGGCTGACTAGAGTGTAAGGCATGGTGGGCAGGAGGCGGAGATGTGCACACAGAAAGACTGGCAGAGGCTAAGTGGTCAGGAACACAGTGGGAGGGAACAAGACAAGTGAAATAGGATGAAGAATTTGAGATTTGGGGAATGAATAGGAGTGTGGGGTCTGAGAGCAAGACAGTGAACAGAAGGAGATAGTGATTCCCAGATTTCTAGACTGAGTAACAGAGTCTGGAGAACCACCTGTGGAGATGAGTTCTACACTCACTAAACTTGGATGAGTGGTTGAGATGACAGGAACGATCACTAGTATTTATGGACTGGCCCTAAGTGCAGGCCAGTCCCTGTGCTTCTCCTCTGTATAGAGATACAGAGCTCATGGAGGGAGTGGCACAGGAACCTGTTGCATTGACACCATCTAATGACAGCACTGCAATGGTCATCTGCTCTGAGCTCTTAAAAAGCTGACTGTGACATAGGAATAACTACAAGTAATTTATCACAAACATCAGGCTTTAAAAAAAATTTTTTTTTTTGGCGGCCTTGGGGCTTCAACTCTGGGCCTAGGCTCTGTCCCTCAGCTTAAGGCAATGCTCTACCACTTGAGATACAATGCCACTTCCGGATTTTCTGGTGGTTAATTGGAGATAAGTGTCTCATGGACTTTCCTGCCTGGGCTAGCTTTGAACCATAATCCTCAAATCTCAGCCTTTTGAATAGCTAGGATTACAGGTATGAGCCACCAGTGCCCAGCTTTAAAAAATTCTTAATTGACACATACTTATTGTGCCTATTTTTGAGTAATGTATAAATTGATGCTTGTATATACATGTAATGATCAAATCAGCAATAATGTGTCCTTCTCAAATCATTTCTTTATGTAAGAAACCTTTGTTTCTCTCCTCTAGTTCTTAATATGTAATGAAGTGTCATAAATCAGTCACCCTGGGGCTGGGAAGGTGGCTTAGTGGTAGAACCCTTGCCTTGCATGCCTGAGGCCCTGGGTTCGATTCCTCAGCACCACATAAGCAAAAAGAAAAAAGCCGGAAGTGGGCTCAAGTGGTAGAGCGCTAGCCTTGAGCTGAAGAGCTGAGTGAGGGACAGCGCCCAGGCCCAGAGTTCAGGCCCCATGACCAGACCCCAAAAAATTAAAATAAATAAATCAGTCACCCTGCTCTGCTGAAGAACACTAGAACAAATTCTTTCTACCTAATTGTATTTTGGCAGCTATTATCCAACCTCCCTCTAGCTCTTCTCCCCCCCCCCCTTCCCTCTTGTGGCCACTATTATTATTTCTTCTCCCTCTCCCTCCTTCTCTCTTTTTGAGACAGGGTCTCACTATGTAGCCCAGGCTATCCTTGAACTCAAGATCCTTAGTGCACACCTCACAAGGGGCTTACTGATTCTTGCTACCATTCCAACAGGTAAGACAAAAAACACACAACTCAGGAAATCCAGTGTGAATGCTGGGCACTGCTGGTTCACATCTATAATCCTAGCTACTGAGGAAGCTGAGATCTGAGGATCACAGTATAAACCACCATGGACAAGAAATACATGAGACTCTCATCTCCAGTTACCACTAAAAAGCCAGAAGTGGAGCTGTGGCTCAAGTGGTAGAATGCTAGCCTTAAGCAAAAAGTACTGATTTCAGCCCCCAGGACCAGCACACAAAAAAGGAAAAGAAATAAAAAAGGAATCAAGTATGAAGTGCCCATCTTCTCCACAAAAGGAAAAGGGACAACAAAGAGTCAGTGGGAATTGAAGTTTAAAGTCATTTAGCTAGGCACCGGTGGCTCAGGCCTCTAATCCTAGCTACTCAGGAGGCTGAGATCTGAGGATCATGGTTCAAAGCCAGCCCAGGCAGGAAAGTCTGTGAAATTTATAAACCACCCGAAAACCAGACTTGACACGGTGGCTCAAGTGGTAGAACACTAGCCTTGAGCTGAAGAGCTGAGGGATAGCGCCCAGGCCCAGAGTTCAAGCCCATGACTGACAAAAAACAAACAAACAAACCAGATTTTAGAGGCTTTGGAACCAGCCAAAGGAGAAAAAGTGTGGAGATGTGTTAGGGTGACCTACCTAGAGCTTCTAGATTTCTCAAAAGTTCATGGAAAGTGGGAGGCTAATAGGGAGAAAGAACTCTAAAAAAAGACTACCAACAATGACTTTCTTCAATATTACTTATTCAGAGAAAGAGCTCTCTGCGGACCTAGAAATGGCTGGCTCATATCTTATAGCAAGTCATCACGAGATATGAAGATTACCAATACATTTGATAATCAACCCTGTAATATAGTTGTATAGAAATAGTGAAAAGCAGGCCACTCACCTAATAGTCTAAACAGAAGTTGCTTGGTGGCAACCTGGTAGTTGAAAATGTTGACTCCTTGGTTATTATTTACCCCAAGGCGAGCCCCAGATCGGACGATAGCACGGCACAAATTGGCATTCCCTTTCATGTATGCCAAGAGCAGCACTGGAAAACAAAACCACAGGTAGGGTTGCCTGGCTGGCATTGCAAAGGGTGAGAGAGGGCAGAACTGGCAAAACATTTGTTAGGAAAAGTCTCTACAAAATATACGGAAACCTGAGACTAAGAGCTGAAGCATCTTCCAAAAGAAAGTACAGCCCCAGGCCAGGAGACCCCCAACGCAGATACATTCCCAGAAAACCACTCTTTCCCTGCTTGAGCTGCTGCTCAAGAGATCTGAGATAGATCTGACATTGATATTGTTGTCTAATTGTTTCCTCTGGTAGAAAACATTGCTTTTTACCACAAAGGACAAAGCTTGCTTTATACAGGATAACAAATATAAAAACTCTGATTTTAGTACAGAAGAAGAAAAAAAAATTCAGTGTTGGGAAAATGTTCCAGAAAATTCTATACAATGGAGCATCTTTCCTGAAAGTGCAGGCCCACTGGGAACCTGGCTCTTAGTCAGCTATCAGGTTTTGTTGTTATTGTTGTTGGTCATGGGGCCTGAACTCTGGGCCTGGGCACTGTCCCTCAGCTCAGCTGAAAGCTCAAGGTTAGCACTCTACCACTTGAGCCACAGCACCACTTCCAGCTTTTTCTGCTTATGTGGTGCTGAGGAATCAAACCCAGAGCCTCATGCATGTGAGACAAGCACTCTACAGCTGAGCAACCTTCCCAGCCAGGTTTGTCTTTTTTTACAGATAATTACAGAGAGCAGTAGCTCTCCTTGATTTATTCTTACCAGAAATTCTACTTCTTAAGTTCTTAACTGTCAATGAGTCAATAATAAGGGCTCAAATAATTCAAAATAGTAATAAAAGCTATCATTCCAGTTATGAAACGTGCACAAAGATATAGGTTAGAAAATTCACCCAATGATAGAAGGGGCTGGGAAGGTGGCTTAGTGGTAGAGCGCTTGCCTTGCATGCCTGAGACCCTGGGTTCGATTCCTCAGCACCACATAAGCAAAAAGAAAAAAGCCGGAAGTGGCGTTGTGGCTCAAGTGGTAGAGCGCTAGCCTTGAGCTGAAGAGCTGAGGGACAGCGCCCAGGTCCAGAGTTCAGGTCCCACAACCGGACCCAAAAAAAAAAAAAAAAAGAAAATTCACCCAATGAATCTCCTAAAACATGACAGTAAAGCAAGTGAGATCTAGGCTCTGTAAATAAGAAGCTCACACTGCAGGCCTATCAACCTGTTCTCAGGGCAGTTATGCCTCCTGAATCAATGCTGGTTTACTAGCGCACGTTTTATTCCTTGGGCTCAGGCACATCACTGTTGGCTCAAAACCATGCTCATTGAGCTGGGAGGTAGCTCAGGGATACAATACTTGCCTAACAAATTTGGAAGGACCTGGGCTTGATCCCTACCACTGCAAAGAAACAAACAAACAAACAAAAAAACCCCGAAACAAAAAACTAGTGGCTCATACTTTTAATTCTAACTATTCAGGAAGCTGAGAGCTGAGGATCATGGTGCAAAGCCAGCTGGGGCAGGAAAGTCTGTAAGGTTCTTATCTCTAGTTAACTACCAGAAAATCTGAAAGTGGAGCTGTGACTCAAAATGGTAGAGCAATGGCCTGGAGCAAAAAAAGAGCTCAGGGAGAGCTGAGTTCAAGCCTCATGACCGACAAAACAAAAACCATGTTCACATGTCAAGGCCAAGTATTCCTCCTAAGGCCAAGAAACAGAAGCAAAAGTACTGTTTCCCCCTAAGGTTCAGAGTACTGTGGTGACAACATTTCTGTGTGGCCTGTCTGGCATGGGGATAGAAGAATGAAGGAGCATGCAGTAAAAATAAAAAGCACTCAGAGACCTAGCAAGGATGAAAGAGAGAGAGAGAGAGAGTGTGTGTGTGTAAAGAGATCTTGTGTGTGTGTGTTTTGATTGGTCACAGGGCTTGACCTCAGGGCTTGGGTGCTGTCCCAGAGATTTTTTGCTCAAGTCTATTGCTCTACCACTTTGAGCCACAGCACCACTTCCAGTTTTCTGGTGGTTAATTGGAGATCAGAGTCTCCCAGACTTTCCTGCCCAGGATGGCTATGAAACCCAATCCTCAGATATCAGCCTCCCGAGCAGCTAGGATTACAGGCATAATCTGCTAGAGCAGACTATGAAAGAGATCTATTTATTAATCCCTCAGTAAGGATGTACCTGTATCAATACATACTAGTAGTATATTTCCTCTGAAACCAGGGAAGTGTTTATATCTTATCTCTCTGCTAAAACTGAGAAGGAACTTGGGAAAGGCCCTGTATAAGAGATAAAGAAGGGCAAAATGGATGGTATAAACAGATGGGCAGGCCTGTCTGGCCTTGGGTATGGCTTGGATTTGATGTCAGATACTCCAAATTCCATAACATGGATCTGGAATTGATGCTAAGAGTCTGGGGGAATATACAAAGCTGACTGCCCTCAGGTAATGACATGAATGCCAAGTCTACTTCTTTAGGAAGCAAGGTGCACAAATGAGACAGGACTTACAGACACCTTATTACCTACCTGTGTTTCCTTCTGCATCTGGCTTATCCAGAGGATACTCAGGCATGCACTCTAAGAAGAGATCAAAGATGGCTGCTGCATTCTCTTTGCCATACTGCCCCAAAATGTGCAGTGGTGACTGGCCTCTGATGAAACAAATTGGAAAAGTTATTATGTATCTACATGTCCATAGTACACAAAAGATACTGAATTTTCTGAACTTTGTGATACTGGATAAATCTAAAGGACATATGACAGGTCAAAAAGATTTTCTAGCTGGGCACCAGTGGCTCATGCCTATAATCTTAGCTACTCAGGAGGCTAAGATCTAAGGATCACGATTTGAAGCCAGCCGGGACAGGAAGTCCATAAGAAGATTCTTCTTTCTTCTCTCTCTCTCTTTCTTTTTTCCGTCAGTCATGAGGCTTGAACTCTGGGCCTGGGTGCTGTCCTTCAGCTCTTCAGCTCAAGGTGAGCATTCTACCACTTGAGCCACAGAACCACTTACGGTTTTCTGGTGGTTAAGAGTCTCATGTACTTTCCTGTCTGGGCTGGCTTTGAACTGTGATCCTCAGATCTCAGTCTCCTGAGTAGCTAGGATTACAGGTGAGCCACTGGCTCCTGGCTCTATTAGACTCTTATTTAAAAAAAAAAAAAACAACTCCAAAAAAACACAAGTGAAGCTGTGGTTCAAGTGGTAGAGCCCTAGACTTGAGCAAAAGAAGCTGAAGGACAGCACCCAGGTCCTAAGTTCAAAACCCTAGTAACAGCGCGCGCGCGCGCACGCACGCACACACACACACACACACACACACACACACACTTTTCTAAAAAGTTTTTTTTTTGAAGCCAGAAGTAGAGATGTGGCTCAAGTGGTATAGCACCAGCCTTGAATGGAAAAAGCTAAGCAAGAATAAGGTCTTGAGTTCAAGTCTCAGTATCAGCACGTGTACACACACACACACACACACACACACACACACACACACACACACACACACACACACACACACACACACACACACACACACACACACACACGTATGCACACACAGTGTGCTTTTTTTGTTTTTAAATAGAAAACCAAACTTGACTAAGCTGGTCAAGTTCCCCATGGTCAGACTTAAAGTTTAGAGCTGGGGCTAAGGGGATGCACCCCCAGCTTCCAGGAGCAGGCTGGTCTCTGCTTGAGATCAAACATACTCACCTCAGATTAAAGGCTTCAGCATCCACTGTGCACTCTGTCAGAAGAACCCGGATGTTGTTGAGTCGACCATGCATGACAGCAAGATGAAGAGCTGGAGAGTAAATCCTCTTACTGTGCAAGCCCAGAGCACATACAGAAAATTCTCAGCTCTTCCCCACTCTCCCAAACCCCACTAAATTCAATGAAATCAGAGCAGGGAACAGCCATGCATAGGCCCATCCTTTCCTTCATCTTCTCTACCCCCAGGATAAGGCATACTGCAATTTCATGGGCCTTTGCTTTCTGTTTCAGCACTCTCACAGGTGAGAGGCTTCACAAGAAGTCCCTTTAGGCTGCCAAGTTACCAATCCCACTGGCCAGCGGAAGGATGGATAGCCTGCGTGGTGTGCTTCCTTTCATAGCTCTGCTCCTGTAGAAGCCAACCCACTGGTGCTATGTACTTCCACTGCTATGATGGAAGCACTGCTCACAGCACTCAGCATGTGCACAGGCCAATCACTGGGAATTACCATTATTTCCATTCTCATCCACAGCAGCAAAGTCTACCCCATTCTCTAGGAGGACTGAGCAAACGGTAGGCAGGTCCTGCTGGGCTGCAAGATGGAGGGCAGTCTGGCGGTGCTTGGTTAATTCATTCACCTTGGCTCCTGCAAGAAGCTGATGAAGTTGATTACTCAAGCAGCCTCTCCCATAGTCAAGATCTTACTTATAGGGGTCAGGCCTCTGACATGGCTGAAAATTCTCCCTAGAGGCTTATCTATCCTGATGCCAAAGCTGGGGACTTGAAGGCCTCACAGTAGTCCTCAAGCACAAATTACCTACCAGCATGTAAACAGCTATTCCTTGAGATGCGAGAATTCTATTTATAAAGCTTTACTATATAGCTGGGTGCTGATGACTCAAGCCTGTAATCCTAGCTACTCAGGAGGCTGAGATCTGAGGATTGCAGTTCAAAGCCAGCCCAGGCAGGAAAAGTTGGTGAAACTCTACTCTCCAATAAACCACCAGAAAACCGGAAGTAGCACTATAGCTCAAGTGGTAGAGTGCTAGCCTTGAGCTGAAGAGCTGACGGACAGCGCTCAGGCAAAACAAAAACAAAACAAAGCTTTAGTATACATAAACTGTATAGCACTGTACCATATAAAGATGTCCAATGCTTGTAATAAAACCTCACAAAGCCGGGCGCTGGTGGCTCATGCCTGTAATCCTAGCTACTCAGGAGGCTGAGATCTGAGGATCACGGTTCAAAGCCAGCCCGGGCAGGAAAGACTGTGAGACTCCTATCTCCAATAAACCACCAGAAAACCGGAAGTGGCGCTGTAGCTCAAGTGGTAGAGCGCTCGCCTAGAGCTGAAGAGCTGAGGGACAGCGCCCAGGCCCAGAGTTCAAGCCCCACGACTAACCAAAATAAATAAATAAATAAATAAAACCTCATAAAAAAGGATATAAGTATAAAAGATAATAACATACATGGATAGTAAAATAAAGTAGCCAATAAGATGATAAATAAGTATGAAAAGATGTTGACTATATAGTAAGTTAACAGAAAAAGAGAGCTTTCCAGGTGCTAATGGCTAACCCCTGTAACCCTAGCTACTAAGAGACTGAGATCTGAGGATCATGGTTTGAAGCCAGTTGGGACAGGAAAGTCTGTGAGACTCTTTATCTCCAACTAAACACAAAAAGCCAGAAGTAAAGCTGTGGCTCAAGTGGTAGAATGCTAGTCTTGAACAAATGAGCTCAGGGACAGTGCCCAGACCCTGAGTTCAAGCCTCGGGACCTGCACCAAAAAAAAAAAAAAAAAAAAAATTAAAAAGGTAGCTTATTTCCCCACTGTGTAACCTGTAGAACAATGGGACATTTATTCTCTGACATACCTATTTTCCTGAGTGTATTTGCCTAGCTCCCCAGATTCTTGCTGCCTTTCACAACCCCTGCCAAAACACCTGTGAGTAGAAATTCTGCACATACCCTACATTGTCCTTTGACAATGTTACATGCAACGGTGATTCTGTGTCACTTACCAAATTGCGGACAATGATCTCTGAGCCTGCTTGTACAGCAAGGTGCAAAGGGGTCAACTTGGAAGCATCCTGGACTCTAGAGTTCACATTGGCCTGGACACTGATCAGGAAGAGGACGCTTTCAATATCAGAGTTCTGAACTGCCACATGAAGAAAATTCCGACCTTTGTTATCCACCTAAGGAAACAGCAGCAACCAAAGTATGAATAAGCTCCCCACTGCTTTTTATTGGTACTGGAGTTTGGACTGAGGGCTGTAGGATTGCAAGGGGGAGGTACTCTCCCACATAGCTATATCCTAACACTAGGCGTCCTTTTAGAGTGCCTCTGAACACTTACAAACTCACTACTACATCACTAGAAAGAAAATGACATATAGTCCTTCCACTCCAAAAAAGATCCTTTCCAACTCGAGTCTAATACCAAATGCCCGCTCTCTAAAAGAACCAGGCCCACAGACCCATGAAGTCAGGAGAAGGAGCCACTGCACTGGCCCAAGCTTCCCTGCCACCTTCCTGCAGCAGTAACTGGAAGTGGAAAATCAAGGAACAGACAAGCTAAAGGACAGGGAAAGGATAAAATACTAGGCTGCTCACAGGGAGGTGAAGATGGAGTTTAGCCTTGAGTCACTGTGTAGCTAAACCAAGCATCCAGACTGAACTCCGAGCAGCCAAACAAAAGCTTCTGAAATTCTGAGGATTTTTTTTTGTTTTTGGTCAGTCATGGGGTTTGAACTCTAGGTATGGGTACTGTCCCTGAGCTCTTTAGCTCAAAGCTAGCACTCTACCACTTGAGCCACAGCTGCACTTCCAGTTACCTGGTAGGTAATTGTTGTTAAGAGTCTCATGGACTTTCCTGCCCAGGCTGGCTTTGAACCATGATCCTCAGATCTCAGACTCCTGAGTAACTAGGGTTACAGGTGTGAGCCACCAGCACCCGGCAGGATGTTTCTTCTTTTACTGAGCTACAGAATATAAAATAGGGAAGTAGCCAGCAGTATGTCACAGATTTTTCCTCAGTGATGTAAAGCAGGTAGAAGCTCACCCAAATAAAACCACACCACATACTGTAGTTAACAGGAGCTGTCAGTACGAGTGCGTGAGTGGACGTGAGGATACCACATGCTCCATATTCTCTGCCCCTCTTGTGCCCCACGCACATGCACACACAGACACAGCATGGGCTGTGTAGCAGGCAAGGCAATTGCACAGGACTTGGAGTGGCAATAGCAGTTTCACATAAATGCTGAGGAAATGTGAAATGACAATCTTCATTCATCTAAGTGCAGAGAGGTAAATGCCCACACAATCCAGTCACACTTAGGAAAAATGAACAAAGGTACAGAAGCTCAAAATATAAAGCAATAATCTTCATGCATGCTAGGACTTCATTTCATTCAAGCCCACATTCACCTTCATTAAAGGGCTCCTTATAAATCCTGGCATATTCTATATGCTGGCTAGAATCAGGTTCCTGTAGGACCAAACTGACAAACCCATCGCAGCTCCTGCCTTGGGTCAGTCTTGACTGTGTTTCTCGCCTACTCTGGTGTAGAGCAACAAGTCACCATCTGGATTTAGTAGCTGATAAAAAGCCACAAAGAACAAAGGTAACAGCCTGCTAAGTTGAATAATAATCTAATACCTCTTAAGACACTCAGAAAGTTGTCTAACATCACAACAGAGTATCTTGAAGTTCAACTGAAATCTTAAGACAGACAACTAGCAAAAGTGAGTATGAGCTTAGCTGTGCATAGCACAAATCTTATTACCAACCCAGAGAGCAGTCACCTCCACCTAAGTGCACATCACTAGGTGACTGACACACAAAGTGAAGTAGCCACATCTCAACCAGCACTACCGGATATCTGTATGGCCATACTTTCAGAAAAGGGGGTATCATTTCAGAAAAATGTATAGAAAAATGTGTAGAAGAGACCACTTGGTTGGCAGCATCTGTTTGGTTTCTGTGTGTTGTCACTCACCTGCTCAGCAGCCCCAGACTCTCGCTTTAGGATGGCCTCAGCTGCCTTGTTATTCTTGTAAGTCATGGCGCAGGCAAAGGGGGTGAGCCCTTGTCTGTCTCGTTCATTCAGATGGATATTAGGGTGAGAAATCAACAGCTGAATGATGACACTGTGCTGGTTGCTGATGGCCACGTGGACAGGTGTTCTTCCTTCTGCATCCTGTAGGAACAAGGCAGATTTCAATGTCCAGTTCAAAGATAAAACTCAGGAAAAGTAACCAGAGCCAAATTTCATTTATACAATAAATACCATAGCTCTCAACTGTTTTTTTTTTGTCAGTTGTGGGGCCTGAACTCTGGGTCTAGGCGCTGTCCCTCAGCTCTTCAGCTCAAAGCTAGCGCTCTACTACTTTAGCCACAGCGCCACTTCCGGCTTTTTCTGCTTATGTGGTGCTGAAGAATCGAACCCAGGGCTTCATGCATGCAAGGCAAGCACTCTTACCACTAAGCCACCTTCCCAGCCCATAGCTCTCAACTGTTAAAGAAGCCAGACACAAAAGAACTAGAAGCTACCCCCCATTACATCATGCTCCAATGACAGGGGATCTAGCAGAAACGATTTGGAAGATGTGCAGCTTGTACCATTGCCAATCCATCTATCAATTCAAACCTTCCCAGGTCCAAATATTGAAAAGCATCAAGGAATATAAGAACCAGGAGAGCTCATTTGAGTTACCTGAACACTAAACCAACTCTCAGTGGAAATCTATAACAAAGGGGGAATAGGAGATAAGGAAATATGGATAAGATTAATAAAACAAAGATGTTGTAGGAAGATAAGACATTAGGAAGTCTGAAGCTGTAATCAATTCAATTGCTAGGTAAGCTATATAACTCAGAAAAAGTCCAGTGTATGATAAAGCAGAGGCCCAAGAAAAGCCATCTGCAGGGTCCCTTGCCACAAGAGACTTCCCTTATTGTGGGGTTACCATTAATGCTTCTGGCAAAGAGAAACTGCCCACCTGTGCATTAACATTAGCACCAAACTCCAGAAGACACTGCACAGTCTCTTCCAGTCCCCATGAGGCTGCCAAATGCAGGGGTGTCTGCCCATCCCTGGCCTCTTCTTCTCCTTCTCCATTAGCACCTGGTTGCCGAGGACTATTCACATCACAGCCACTGAAAGGAAACAGAAGGAAGGCCATGCTTCTACCTTGCCTACAGTCATACAGATGGACCAACAGCAACACCTTTATCCAATCCACCAAAAACTTCTTCTGCCATAACCTATCCTTGGTCCTTGACATCAAATACTGAGATCTGAGTCCCACTGCCAGAGATTCTTTCCCAGTTGGTTTTGGGAATAACATGGGCATCTAAACTGTTGCAAAATCCCCAAAGGATAGGCACATATTTAAAAGTTAAGAAGCACTGCATTAATAACCTTTCCTAAATAAGCATACTCCACACCATGTCTCACATGCTGAGAGGGCAAAGAAACCTCTTGTAGCTCCAGCATCTTGGTAGGATCCAATAGAGGCCATCTGATCTCTATTTCAGCCTCCTGACTTCCCAGTAGGAACTGGTCTTGACTGACTACAGAAGTTCATGCAGCTCCCAAACCAGAAGCCAGTCTTTGATTCAGGTGTGGGAGCCCCTCCCCTCACAAATGAGCTTGCCCTTGGCTGACTTGACAGAACAGTGGCCCCCTGACTATCTTAATGATTAAAATCAAGCCAGCCAGAGGCAAGTCAGGACTGGAGGTAGATTCACATAGACAGTGAGTATGCAACAGGCTAAGAAAGATTTTAAGAGATACTTGGGCTTCTCCGACCTGCGAATAAGAAAGCAGGCGCTGGACTCGTTGTTTTCATCAATGGCTCTGTGCAAGAGTGTCTGAAGGCACCCGCTAGGACCTGGACCCCAGAATGTGGCATCACAACCATGTCTGACCTGCAGAAAAACACAGGTTGCTGTCAAGCAAAAGTGAAAATTTTCATTACCAACTCTGAGCTCTATGTAATTAACTGAAAATAACTTTAATTCATGTACTTCATTAGTTTTACAAACACTAATTAAAATCTGCTGAGTGTAAATTCTTACACTATTCCTGTGGGATGCAATTCAAAATATAAATATGTTTAATTAGGGCCCTAGACTTGTGTTCTAGAAGGGAAAGAGAACAGTTTGTACTTATAAGCCCCCAGCAACACATACCTGTAATTAACAGGTAATCTCAGTAACAGCTGATAAAATCCCAGGTATAAAATGCCTCAATGTCACATTGCAGGCCATTCAAAACAGCTAAATGAGAAGATCCAGATCTATCTCATTTAGGTGCATGTCTTGCAACAAGGGAGAAAAAGCAGATATTTGGGGATTCATCACTAGTGATGATGAGGCAGCCCCGGATAAATCTCCTGAGGGAATGGACCAACGCTGGCTCCTCTGTGGTCTTCTTCTTTTTTTTGGTCCGTTGTGGGGCTTGAACTCTGGGCCTGGGCGCTGTCCCTCAGCTCTTCAGCTCAAGGCGAGCGCTCTACCACTTGAGCTACAGCGCCACTTCCGGTTTTCTGGTGATTTATTGGAGATAGGAGTCTCAGTCTTTCCTGCCCAGGCTGGCTTTGAACCGTGATCCTCAGATCTCAGCCTCCTGAGTAGCTAGGATTACAGGCATGAGCCACCAGCGCCTGGCTGTGGTCTTCTTAGTAAAAAGCCCACATAAAAGTGTTTGGCCAGGATCACATTGAATTGTATGTTTTCTTAAAATGATTTTCAACTACTCATCTTTGACCCAGTTTATGACTTGGCAGATCTCTTGTTCCTGTGATTGGTACACAGCCATCAAATCCATTTCCGACAAAAAATATCCTCATCTGTAAGCAAAGGCAAGGTTGTCCTTGTCTCACCAGAGTGGATGCAATGTCCTCCAGGTTACTGGTCAAGGCAAGCCACAGTGGGGGGTTTCCTTTCTCATCTGGCACCGACATGTCAGCTCCTCGGGTGCATATGGCATCGACTACAAGTGGAAGCTGATTTCTGATAGCCAGCTGAAGGGCCATCTCCCCATCCTGAGTCCTGCACACCAAAACCAAAACAATGTCTGCAAAGGATACAGGGCACCCTTCTGGGAGTTTCAGAGCCCAGACTTCACTGCATGCCATAAACACATTTCATTCAGTCACTAGAATTTTATCCTAGAAATGAAAACTGCCAGTTATGCTTGTGTCCTCTGCCTTTTTGAAAAATGCAGCACTACCATCTTACTGTATCCCAAAGATAAAGATAAGTGACCCCCAAACTTAAAATCCTACAGGAATACAGTTCTTTGCATAGCATCATTATTAAATGCCAACAATAAAATGTCACCCGGACTACCTACCTGACAAAATAGTTCTTGCCTTTGCACACTCAGGATCATTTAATATTGGAGGTTCAGAAAAGTTCATGTGAGGGCTGGGAATGTGACTTAGTGGTAGAGTGCTAGCCTTGAGCAAAAGAAGCTCAGGGACAGTGCCCAGGCCCTGAGTTCAAGCCCCAAGACTGTCAAAAAGAAAAAGAAAAGAAAAAAAGAAAAGAAAAGAAAACACAACCATAATAAAACTGGAACTGATTTTTCCTCTCAAGTCTTATTTGTAGTTTTGTTGGGATGGTCTTTATTTTAATTGAAATTCCTATTCCCAAACTGATTTTGGATTTTTGTTGTTGTTGCTGTTGTTGGTTGTGGGGCTTGAACTCTGGGCCTGGAAGCTGTCCCTCAGCTCTTCAGCTCAAAGCAAGCGCTCTACTGCCTGAGCCACAGCACCACTTCCAGTTTTCTGGTAGTTCATTGGAGATGACTCTAATGGGCTTTCCTTGCCTGGTCTGGCTTTGAACAACGATCCTCAGATCTCAGCCTCCTAAGTAGCTAGGATTACAGGCATGAGCCACCGGGGCCCAGCTTGTTTTTTATAATGAGATTTTGTGCAATATTGTGCAATGGTTCTGAAAGATTCCAATAAGAGCAATGGTCAGTTTTCCTTCACCACATACTCTATTGATATTTATATGTAAACTGACATTTACACTGTCCCTATTTGTGGGAATCAAACCCAGCCTATGCCTGCTAGGCAAGTGCTGAATCATACCTTCCTCTTCAATTTTTTTTTTTCTTGCCAGTCCTGGGGCTTGAACTCAGGGCCTGAGCACTGTCCCTGAGCTTCTTTATTTATTTTTTTAAGTAAGTTTTTATTGTGAAAATACTGTACAGAGGGGTTACAATCACATGAGCAAGGTAATGAGTACATTTCTTATCAAGCATTGTTGCCTCCTCCTTTATTTATTTATTTTTTGCTCAAGGCTAGCACTCACCACTTGAGCCATAGTGCCATTTCCAGCCTTTTCTGTTTATGTGGTACTGAGGAATCAAACCTAGGGCTTCATGCATGCTAGGCAAGCACTCTACCACTAAGCTACAGTGCTACTTCCAGTTTTCTGGTGATTAACTGGAGATAAGTTTCATGGACTTTCTTGCCTCGGCTGGCTTTATACTGCAATCCTCAGATCTCAGACTCCTGAATAGTTAGGCATGAGACACTTGTGCCTGGTTCATTTGTACTTATTTGTTGTTGTTTCTCGTGGGGCTTGAATTCTGGGCCTGGGCACTGTCCCTCAGCTCTTCAGCTCAAGTTAAGCACTCTACCACTTGAGCCACAGTGCTACTTCCAGTTTTCTGGTGGTTTATTGGAGGATAAGAGTCTCAGGAGAGAAGTACAAATTGTCATGTCAAAAAGGAGCTTTACAATGTCAGTGGAGGGGGATGGGGGGGGAAGGATTGGGTGGGAGGAAGGGGGGAGGCTGGGAAGGGAGGTGAAGGGTAAACAAAGGAGGAGGCTGCAATGCTTGGTAAGAAATGTATGCATTATCTTGCCCATGTAATTGTAACCCCTCTGTACAGTATGTTCACAAATAAAATAAAATTTAAAAAAAAAAAGAGTCTCAGGAACTTTACTGTCCAGGTTGGCTTTGAACCTCGATCCTCATATTTCTGCTTCCAAAATAGCTAGGATTACAGATGTGAGCCACCAGTGCCCAGCTCATTTGTACTTTCTAAGAGTCATGTTTTCCCTTCCTCTATTTAATGAGGAATGAAAATATTTTCTAGAAGCAAAGCTCTATTTCTGAGCCATCTGAGGTGTGATATGGTGTTACAATGGAAGGTGCCACTTCATCCCACCTGACATTTATATCTGCTTGATGCTCCAGAAGAAAAAGTGCACTCTTGCTATCCTGACGTTGTATGGCCATGTGCAGCAAAGTCTGCCCATCCGACATGGTGTCATTGATAGAAGCCCCAGAGCCAAGCAGCTGAGCTGCTATTGTGTGCATACCTGAGAAACACACAAGCCCTCATTAATGCATACTCAGCTTTCCCCACTTCTTGGATATCATATGACAACAAATATACCCCTCTCAACTTCTCACAGTCAACAGTTTTCCAGTGGATATTATAGGCTTAACCCAAGCAGAAATGTTATCTCTCCCACTCTCCTATGTACCCTGGGTATGTGTGCTGTCATCTACCTCTGGGACAGCTTACCAGTCCATAACGCCAGGCCCAGCACCGTTTGGTCTCGAGAATCCTTGAGGCTGAAGTCCGGAATAATTTGCAAGTTGTTGGTAGCATGAAGAGCATTGGCTAGATTTTTTTTAAGAGGAAAAGAAATTTGACCATCTTATGGATCACATTTAAAGAATTCAAGAGGATAAGAACTCGTTTGAACTAACTGGTTATATGATAATTACTATTTCAATACAACAGAAGTCTAGAGTCAAAGTCCAGAAATATAATTATTGTAATTATTTGGTACCAGTCCTGGAGCTAGAACTCAAGCCCTAGGCGCTATCCCTGAGGTCTTATTGAGGGCTAGTTGCACTAATACTTGATCCACAGCTTCACTTCTGGCTTTTCAGTGGTTAACTGGAGATAAGAGTGTCGCGGACTATCCTGCCTGGGCTGGCTTTGAACCACAATCCTTAGATCTCAGCTTCCTAAGTAACTAGTATTATAGGTATGAATCACTAATGTCTGGCAAAATTATTTCTTAAAACCAAAAAATGGATTCTTCATATAAGAAAAAGACGCTACCTTGGGCTGGGAAGATGGCTCAGTGGTAGAGTGCTTGCCTTGCATGCACGAGGCCCTGGGTTCAATTCCTCAGCACCACATAAGCAAAAAGAAAAAAGCTGGAAGTGGCACTGTGGCTCAAGTGGTAGAGCGCTAGTCTTGAGCTGAAGAGCTGAGGGACAGTGCCCAGGCCCAGAGTTCAGGCCCCATGACCGGACCCCCCCCCAAAAAAAAAGACACTACCACAGAAACACACATTCATTTCATGCTTACTAAAATTAAGAATAAAATAATGCCCTGACAATGTTTCCTAATACCTAATTCCTTCTTTTTTTTTGGTCATGGGCTGGAAATCTGGGCCCGGACGCTGTCCCTGAGCTCTTCAGCTCAAGGTGAGCGCTCTACCACTTGAGCCACAGCACCACTTCCAGTTTTCTGGTGGTTAATTGGAGATAAGTGTCTCACAGACTTTCCTGCCTGGGCTGGCTTTGAACCATGATCCTCAGATCTCAGCCTCTGGAGTAGCTAGGATTACAGGTGTGAGACACCGGCATCCAGCACCTGAAGGGGCATTCTACCAGCGCCCGGCTGCAGCAGAGGATTTCTGTGTGGCGCCAGCTTCTCCATGGCAGGGCTTCCCTTTGCCTCTCCTGCCGGCTCCCCCTCACACGCCATCTCCAGGGCTTCAGAAACAGACTAACCATCTGTGGAGGACCTGTGTGACAGAGTTCTTAGTGCCCATGCCAAGGTAATGCTCTGTTTGACCTATACTAAAATGGTCTGGAAAAATGACCCAAACAAAAGATAGAGCAGAGCACAAATCCTCACAGCTCATCCAGTGAAAACATAGTAATTATGATTCAGATTATGTAGTTTGACCCAGATGGGTATTTTTAAAAAAGAGACTGGTTATTTAAAACTAACCAACAAGCCAGGCACCGGTGGCTCATGCCTGTAATCCTAGCTACTCAGGAGGCTGAGATCTGAGGATCATGGTTCAAAGCCAGCCTGGGCAGAAAAGTCTGTGAGACTCATATCTCCAACAAACCACTAGAAAACTGGAAGTGGCGCTGTAGCGCAAGTGGCAGAGCACTCACCTTGAGCTGAAAAGCGCAGGGATAGCGCCCAAGCCCAGAGTTCAAGCCCCACCACCAACAAAAACCAAAACAAAACAAAACAACTAAACAATAGAAGTGACATCTACTTTGTAATTAACTACCCAAAGCAACTGTCCAAAACTCAAATTGATGGGATGGACAGAATTCCCAACTACCTACCTTTCTGTTCCAGAATGACAGACACCACATCAGGATGGTTACAGGCAATTGCCATGTGCAGTGGTGTCTGCAAGTGGATGTTGTCTGTGCATCCAGTCAGGGTCATAGCCTCTTTTTGCAAAGGCAGAGCCTCCTCTGTCTGTAAATTTGGGTTGGCACCTTGTTGCAGGAGCTCTGCTGTGAGGTTGGCCAGCCCATGCCGACATGCAGTGTGCAAGGGGGTTTCTCCCTGAATGGAAACAAATGGCCCAGATCTAAGCAAACTGCTGAAACCCAAGTTCCTACTACTTTTCCTGTCACCAGCTGACCTCTGACTTTTTCCATTTTCTTCTCTGCCACCACCATTTTCTTCAGTGTTTTCTCAAGTACTTTCTAAGTGCCCTGCCTTCCTATCTTCTTCCTCTCTTATGATCTCCTTTGCACCCTTCACTTCCATAATTACTTTTCTAATTATGAAAAGAATGTATTCTTCTTCTTATAAAACCACAATGACATGTATCAAGTGTAGGAAGAACAATGAAACACTGTAGAAAATGGCAGGGCCTCTAAGTCATGGCCCCAAAGGTAAGCAGTTTCAATACAACTCAGGCTGGAAAGGTAGCTCAGTGGTAGAGTGCTTGCCTTGCATGCATGAGGCCCTGGGTTCGATTCCTCAGCACCACATAAGCAGAAAAAGCCGGAAGTGGCACTGTGGCTCAAGTGGTAGAGCACTAGCCTTGAGCTGAAGAGCTGAGGAACAGCTCCTAGGCCCAGAATTCAGGCCTCACGACCGACCAAAAAAAAAAAAAAACCATAAAATAAAATAAAAAAATACTACTTCTCTTTCATGGCCTGTCAGTCAGTACCTGTTTCTTTACCCTGCTTAAACCAACCTTACCTTGAACTTCTATCAAAAAATCCTCTCACTTTCAAAACTTAAAGGCAATGTCCCTGAGCTCTTCAGCTCAAGGCTACGGCTCTACCACTTGAGCCAAAGTGCCTCTTCCAGCCTTTTCTGTTTATGTGGTGCTGAAGAATCGAACTCAGGGCCTCATGCATGCAAGGCAAGCACTCTACCGCTGAGCAACCTTCCCAGCCCCAAAACTTGAAGACTTTATGGTGGTACTGGGGTTTGAACTCAGGGGCTTGCTGCTTGCTAGGCTAGTAGTCTACCATGTAAGCCACACCTTAGGCCTGCTTTGTGGAGTCTAGCAAACTTTTCTGTCACAGCTGGCCTAATACAATACCTTAATCCTCCAGATTTCAATCTCTTGAATAGCTAGTAGGTTTAAAGGTATGAACCACCAATACCCAGCTTAAAATCAAAGACATTTTAAATTGATATTACAGGTATCTGGTTCAATATTCAAAAAGTTTAAGAATATATAATGAGTGGCTGGGAAATTGGCTTAGTGGTAGAGTGCCTGCCTCACATGCATGAGGCCTTGGGCTCCATTCCTCAGCACCACCTAAGCAGAAAAAAGCTGGACTGTGGCTCAAGTGGTAGGGCGCTAGCCTTGAACTGAAGAGCTGAGGGACAACACCCAGGCCCAGAGTTCAGCCCCCACAACTGACAAAAAAATAAAAAAAGAAAGAAAGAAAGAAAGAAAGAAAGAAAGAAAGAAAAGGAGTCTTAGCCGGGCGCTGGTGGCTCACGCCTTAATCCTAGCTACTCAGGAAGCTGAGATCTGAGGATCACGGTTCAAAGCCAGCCTGGGCAGGAGAGACCATGAGACTCTCATCTCCAATAAACCACCAGAAAACCGGAAGTGGCACTGTAGCTCAAGTGGTAGAGCGTTCGCCTTGCGCTGAAGAGCTGAGGGACAGTGCCCAGGCCTAGAGTTCAAGCCCCACGACCGACCAAAAAAAAAAAAAAAAAAGAAAGAAAAGGAGTCTTAGCCAGGTGCCAGTGGCTCATACCTGCAATCCTAGATACTCAGAAGGCTGAGATCTGAAGATCATGGTTCAAAGTCAGCCCAGGAAGGAAAGTCTGTGAGTCTCCAATCAACTACTCAAAAAAGCCAGAAGTGGTACTGTGGCTCAAGTGGTAGAGTGCTATCCTGGAGCACAGAGAGTCTCAAGGACAGAGTCTAGGCCCTGAGATCAAGCCCCAGGACTGGCAAAAAAAAAAAAAAGTAGTCTTATCTTGGCAGCCAATTATCCTCCCCAACAAATATTACAAGTTTTATGTTTCTCTTCAGTGGTAAACATTTGCCAAACACATAGACACAGACCTTGTGCAAGTATGTGTGTATATATGCTTATAATGTGTATATATAAACCCATAGGTTGGATATTTTTTAGCCCAAACTTAAATTGCTGTGTACATTGTCTTATACAAGTTATACAACACTATCATGGAGAATGTCAAGAACTCTACCAGGTTTGTTATGAAAAATAGTAAGATTATACCCTCATTTTTGAAAAAACAAAACCAAACCAAACAAAAAAAAAAAACTCTCCTAGCTAAGTTTTCTAACTTTCATATTTTTCATTAGGTATGCTTATCTAAAACTATAGCTTTTAACCAGCATCTGTAAACCCAGGCCCCAGTGCTGATTTTACATCCAGTTTCCCCACTGCCTGTTAAGACATCCCTGGCTTGACTTTTATAAAGAATTCAGCAGGCACAAAGAAATTTACTCTTCTGACACCAGTTCTAACTCCTCATCAGCTCTCTTTCACTTTTCATGGGTACTCCATAATCACTTTAATACATCCCATGCCCTTGCTTCTGGAAGCCTTAAGTGGACAGTTCCTCAATGCTTCTGAAACCTGTTGCTTCAGATCTAAGTTCAGTGTGAGAGGTCAGTCAAGACAGCCACGGCTTCTCCAGACAATTCCCACCTGGCTTCAATGGCCCAGGCACAACACCATGCCTCCCCCTCCACAGGAGGCTCTTTCAGTTCCAAACTGATACTGTTCCCCTGTCCAAACATTATAAGGACTATTGCCTTAGACAGAATAAAATCCAAACACCTTAAATCAGCATTTTGGGCCTCCCTCCAAAGTAGCACTTGCCTTTTTTTTTTTCTTTTTTTGCCAGTCCTAGAGCTTGAACTCAGGGCCTGGGCACTGCCCCTGAGCTTCTTTTTCTCAAGGCTAGCACTCTATCACTTGAGCCGCAGTGCCACTTCTGGCACTTATGTGCTACTGAGGAATCGAACCTAGGCTCCATACATGCTAGGCAAGCACTCTACCACTAAGCTACATTCCCAGCTTTGTTCTATATTTTAACCATACTCATGTATTATTTTCTCAAAAACCCTGAGCTTTTCTGTACAAGACTAACACTCTACTACTTGAGCCACAGCTCCATTTTTGATGGTTAGGTACAGATAAGAGTCTCAGACTTTCCTGCCTGGGTTGACTATGAACTGTTAATCCTCAGTTCTTAGCCTCCTGAGTAGCTAGGATTATAGGTGTAAGCCACTGGCACCTAGATTCCATTTTTCCTGCACACCACTCTTGCCATTTCTTAAACAAACCAAAACTATTTCTCCTTGCTTCCATGTTACACTTACCCACTTGTTTCTGTGGTTGACGTGGGCACCATTGGATGCCAGGAAAAGAGCTGCCGCCTCATTTCCTGCCCCAGCTGCCCGCTGTAGTAAACAGTTTCCTACAAGAAAACAGCCATATTCATTCTGCTGTTTGCACAGAAATAAAGTCAAGTTGCACAGTGCATAACACACTACCCTTTTCCACCATGGGCACTGTCCGTATGGACATACTGGTAACATTCACCAGCAGTAACTGTTCTTAATCGCGGTGCTATGACTGTTTGAGTGATCCTTTGTGTAGGGGCCTGTTCCATATAATATACAATGTTTAACAATATCCCTGGCTTCTACCCACTAGATGCCAGTAAAACACCTCAACTTCTGGAATAATGTGGGTACACAATAAAGATGACCCTGGCTAACAGCCACTGGACTACATTGCATGACTAAGCTGTGCCTGAAAACGCCCCTTAAATATTTCAGTTTCATTCCTAGGTCACATCTATGTTTGTTCTTGATTTAGAAATATTTTGCCAGCACTGTCACCTTTTTCTAGATAAAAATCTTAGAAAACGGTGCAGGGGGGGGGAAGGGGGTGGGGGGGAGGGGGGAAGGAGAA